GCACACAGCCCCTTTCCCTCTCTGGGTCTAAAGTCCCCAGCTGCTCCATCTCTCCACGTCATCGTCTCTGCCTCCATCTCTGGCATCACTGCTTCTCTGGGTAGGGTCTCGGTCTCCACTCTTCTCCATTGATGGTCCCAGGGACCTCCGCTCTTAGACTGAAAAATTAATCACTCCCCTCCTTGCTACAAAATGTCTACCTTTCCATTTACAACCCTCACAATCAGTCCTGATAACAATTATTCACTATTGTATCACAAGAGACCTATCCTCATTTCATTTCATCAGCCCCGCCTAGACTGATTGGTTACTACTCAGTGGAGATTCTACCTTCCTCCATGCCTTCTGGATCTAGGTTCCCTCTTGAAATCCCAATCCCCTGCTTTTGTTAGAAAACTTCTACCTTTACAATTGTGACTGTCGCAATTAGTCATGATAACAATTATTCACTATTGAATCATACAAATCTTTTCCCCATCTCTTTTCCCCAGACCCATCTAGACAAGATGAAAACTATTCACTGGGGACTCTTCCCCCCAGACACACACTCTTAAACTATACTACCTCTTGAAACCTTGTAAGCCAGTACCTCATGCCTTTATCGCCCCCTCATTTTAGGTAGCCAAAGTTTATTTTGCCCATCTCTATCTACCCTTTGTACGGAAGTGATAACATTGATATCTGATGTGAAGACTCCTTCCCTCTCTGTTGGTATTTAGAGTTACTACCTCCATGAGTATAGGTCAGGTTCATCAAATTGTAGCAATTTACCCTTGTTTCCTTTATCAAAAATTTTTTTTCTTTTTTTCTTTTTGTAATCTTACTCTAGTTGAGTTCTGATTATCAAGCCATTGAAGCTATCTGCAAGTTTGGGTGTTCCTGTGCATCTCCCCTCACTTCATATCAGCTGGATGATTCACTCTCAGCTCTAGCTCTCTTTGGCTATGTCCTTGTCCATGAGCTCAAGTGTCCTCAGGTCTCACCACACATTGGACTATCCATCCCTTCCTCTTCTCTCTCTAATCTCCAGGTCAACAGGAGTCAATGATGGACTGTGGTTGAACTCAGCTCATTTCTTCATTTCTGCTTTTCCCCCTATTCCATTCACCAGTAGACTAATGTGGTCACCAGCAAGCTTACATGCCTGTTTGTGTGTTCCCTTTGAGTTTCAGTCTTAAAGGGAGGTTTGTCCTGAAGGAATTTTATTGCTTGCCTTGATGGCTTCCTGGCAAACAGCTTGCATATTTTTGTAGTAGCCAGTCATGATGACATTTTTGTTTTGGGTTTTCCTTATGATCTTTCTTTGAAGATGTAGCTTCTGTTGCTCTAGCTATTCCAGGCTAGTCTGCTTGTCATTGCTAGTGGGAATGTCCCACCTCATAAAGTTCTGGATGGGATTCAGGATTCCACCTAAGGTCCTATACTCTGCAAAGGCTTTGCAAGAGGCATATTTCACTGGAAAATACCCCTTTTAGGTATTCCAATCAGTTATAGGCTGAAGACAGGCTTACAAGTGTTCTGTAATCATGTTTTCCAACATTCCTTTCTATCCCACTCAAGTGTCTATTTTACAATAGTAGGAAAGGAAAACCAATATTCATAAGTCAATCAAGCATCTTAATATTATTTCCCCTCTTCTAATTATACCTAGATTCCTGTGTCACAGGGATGTTCCAAGGTTAAGCATGCATTATTTACCTCTGTCCCACTTAGGCTATGGAAACCTGTCTCAGTGGTCCCCTATCTATCTTGTTCTTCCACCTACTCCCCCTTCTTGTATTGCCCTTCCTTTCCAACACCTGAACTAAACCCCCCCTCCCCCCACGCTAACCCCACTGTTGTGGTTACCTTATATTCCATTAACTTTTCCCTCCATTTAAGACAGTCTATTTTATCCTATAATCTACCTGACCTCACCACCTGGATCTCTGTTCCTCTGTGTTTACCTTCTTTCACACTGTAATTGTTTTGATCATAGAATGACCTCCCAGATCCTCTGTTCTTATAATTTTATTCTGTTCTTGACTCTTCCACTTGTTGATTGAGTTCAGGGTGATGCTGCCACATACAAAATTCTCTAGTTGTTGTGTGTTCTTGTTGGTTCTCAGTCCACAGAACTCCCTTTAAGATGTTTTTAATAGCAGGGTTGGCTTTGGCAAAATCCCTTAGCTTTTGTTTATCCTGGAATGTTTTGATTACACCATTGTATTTGATTGACAGCTTTGCTTGGTAGAGGATTCTTGGGTGGAAGTTTTTTTTCTTTCAGGGTTTTATATATGTCTCTCCATTGCTTTTTTGCCTGCATGGTTTCTGTTGAAAGATCCGAGCTTAATCTGATTTGCTTGCCTTTGTATGTTACTTTTCTCTTTTTCCTAGCTGCTCTCAGAATTCTACCCTTATCTTTGATTTTGGAGAGCTTGATTATTATATGTTTTGGTGATTGTCTTTTAGGGTCTGTCTTTCCTAGGGTTTGTTGAGCTTCCTGAATGCTTATCTTTTTACTTTTCAGGATGTTAGGGAAGTTTTCTTCCAGAAGTTCTTGAACTATCTCCTCTGTGGACTTGTGTGTTTTTTTCTGTTCCAGAATGCCAATAATTCTTAAATTAAGAATATCTTCATGTTGTCCAACATGAATCTTAGGCCATCTTCAGATTTTTTAGTCCTTTTTTGTGCTTGCTTTTCTATCATAGTAGTGTTGAGAGACTTATCTTCTAGCTCACTGATTCTGGCTTTTATCTCTTCAATTCTACTCCTTTGCTCTTTCAGTGTATCGTCCATTTCTGATATTCTATTATTAATTGTTTGGACCTCTTTCTGTAGGGTTTGAATCATTTCCAATGCTGTATCTATCTTATTTGATTGTTCCTTTAATGTTTTCCTGACTTCTTTATTTTTGTCAACTCCATTGTATCATGTTTTGATACATTTTAAAACATTTTTCTGAATACCTTCTCAGATATTTCCAAAGCCTGCCCATGTTCCAGTATGGAATGTAGGTCTACTTCCAGCTTATTTGTCTCAGTCACTTTATCTCTTTTCTGGACATGTACCGATATGGTCATCTGTTTCTGTTTTGGGGGAATATTCAGGAGTTATGTGTGGCCTCCATACTTAGATGGGTGTGTATTTTGGTATTTTTTATGCTTTCTGATTACCTCCAAGTAGATGTGATATCAGTATCTTTCCTTTTCATCATTCTTCCTGAGAAATTTCAAGATGTCACTGTTGGTCATTGTGACATAACTCAGGATTTAATTTTTGGCCTATTTCTTTTTAGTCTGCCTGTCCTGCTTCACAAACCCCATTCAGGCCTTTTTCTTAGTGATAAACAGTTCAGGGCCAGCTGTGGCTGCTTTGCACTGCTGGTTAGTTTTAAGTGGAAACTGTCACTTTAAATTGTGAGGAGATCTGTGTGCATGTGTTGTAGAACCCTCCAGGTGTTGGGGTGGGGTGTCCACTCACTCAGAGCCCCCCTCTAGTCATCAGAATGGAGGTGCACAGACAGTGACACTGAGACCAATGAACAGATACAAACAAAATTGAACGTCTTGACCTTTATCTCCTCAGTTCTGCCGGGCATCCATGGCTGCTCTGACCCTTCCCCCACTTGTTCTCACCCAAGATGGTGGCTCCAGGAGCAGCTGAGCATCTTGAATTAGAAAGCAATGGATTTCTTGCTTCTGCTACCAATTCCCCTAGTTGTAAGCCTTCCAACCTTCTAAATATTCCTTTATATGTGGTTCAGAGTTCTGGCACCATCCCCTGAGCCTGTTTGGTCCAGTATTTTGTGTTCTTGCTGATGGAGTGCCTCACTGCTCTTCCACCCAATCCGCCATCTTGTTTGTTCTCCTAAATATTCCTTTATATGTAGTTCAGAGTTCTGGGACCATCCTTGAACCTGCTTCATCCAGTATTCTGTATTATTGTTGATGGAGGTCCTCACTGCTCTTCTTCCCGATCTGCCATCAAGCTCTGTTCCCCTTCATAGGGTTTTGGAGACTATAAATTTTACGGGAGTAGACAGCCTCCTCTTTTTCTATTGGAGAAGTTGTTGGGTTTGAAATACTGACCTTTCAGTTACCATTCCAATGCATCACCCAGTCTACAAGCAGGGCTTCTTACATTGAAGATACACACACACACACACACACACTCAAACACACACAATCCCACTACCACTGAGTTGATCTGACTTATAGCAACCTTATATAGGGTTTACAATGAAAATAATAACTACAAAAATCACCTAACACCCCTAAGGCCAGAGACACAGGGGAAAGATTGGGTTTATTAGAATATGGAACATTAAATTCCCAGACCTCTAAGGAGCACAGTGACCAGCTGCTGTTTGTGCCTCAGGAATGGAGAACATGCCCACTCTACCAATCCCAGAGTTGAAAAGCAGATCTCTGAAGGCATTAATGGATGACTGGTGCTGGTATTTTTGAGGGAGCATGAGAGTGGTTCTAATAATGCCAGAAAAACTGGAATACAAAATCAGTGATTGACCCCATCTGAAATAACACTGACAGTAACTTTAAACACACAACAAAGTAAACTTCACTCTCTCCTTTGTCTATCACTCCAGACTACTTTTAATGCCCACAAACAGCACTGAAGAAAGCTGATAAAACAGAAGTGTCATTTGTAGAGGCACATCCTGAACATAATTTAGAGTACATAAGTGGGAAGAAGATTAGAACTGAGAGACAACAGCTTTATGTCGTTGTTGTGCCTTTTTCAGGAAGCAGAGATGACTTCCAGGAAAAATGAGTTTTTAATTTTGCTTGAGCATTAAACATTGAGGAGTAAATAGAAACATACTAGAAATACTTCGGTGTGCTATATAATGCTTATAATACTGACAGGAGGGGTTTCTGGATTTTATTTTAAACCATAGAACATTCCCTAATGGCTTTCTGCCATGAGAAGAAAAAGTATAGATATTTTGTAATGATGTGTGAGACTTATTCTTCTTTTTGTTCTTTGTTTCCATCCTCTTTGCCCTCCTTTTCTTTTTTGTAAAGCACAAAGAGGAAGTAAAATAAGACAGCCAAAGGAATAAGCCACAATAATGACAGATAAGTAAAAATTCCCAGCTGTTTTGTTACTCTATTAGGAGGTGGACCACTATCATAACTGCCTCCATAGCCTTTTATCAAACAGTAGGGAGGTGCCCAACCAAAGTTACAGTGACAGTGTTCTTTATTGTTACAGACCCCTCGCATGTTGCAGGTCTCAGGCTGACAATCTTGTGGAAGATAAGACATGTGGACACACTTCTTATGGATGCAGATCTTTTCTGGACCACATACTGTGCCATCCTTCACTTGACCAATATCAGGTATGGACATCCCTAAATGATAGTCAGTGCCCCAGCAAATAGTGTCATTGATGTGGACCTGATGCACTGTAGAATGTTCTGTCAAATTGGGAATTACTTCCACATTTTCACATTGAATTCTTCCACACAGGATATCAGTGATATTACATTTTAGATATATTATATCTGTAATCCCACAGTGACCAAAACGGTTTCCTTGAGTGTTGATGTTTTGGTAGCAGCTTTGAGATGCACTTCTTGCATCTTTGCCAAAAATCTCTTTACACTGCATATCATGGCTATTGCATCTCTTTTCATAACAGAAGGCACTGTCATTACATGGTATCCCATTCTTTACATATACATCTTCTGGGCACTGATGAGAAGTTCCACTGCACCACTCTGGAAGATCACATTCATTGACTTGTTGTCTACACAAATACCCTGATTGAATAAAATTGCAATCTTTACAGCATAGGCCAAAAGCACAATCAGCCCCTGAACTCAGAGTACAGTTTGAAAGGCAACAGGGATCATTAGCACACTGTTGTATGGTTCCACAGTCACACTCTTCTCCTTCTTCAACAATTAGGTTTCCACAAAACTTTTGACTAAAGATTTTCTCAGAATTTGGTGTAGAGAAAAGACATAATCTTTGCCTGCCTTTGTCCCAATAATTGGCATAACTACAATTGCTGAACTTAGTTGTTATACGGTGAAAGGCAAACATTATGCACCATGTGTACCCACACACACACCAATTACTGTCATGCAGCATACCCAAATTATGACCAAGCTCATGGGCCACAGTAAGTGCAAAAGAAAACAAATCGTCTCCTTGGAAACTATCAACTCCACAATTATAAGGAGAAAGGCATATTCCTCCAACAAAGGCAACACCAAGCGTGTTACCATATGATTGTTTCATGAAAAGATGTGTAGCATCATTTGGCAGTCGTGCATCAAGGTGTTGTTTTTTCCAAGAACAAAATTCTTCTACAAGTTCATCAATGTCATTAGATAAATGTGGGTTTCCTTCATTCCAGATCTCAATACCAACCAAAATTATATCAATATCAAAAGGTTGATATAAAGAATCCACAATATGAACAACATGAATTACTTCATGCTGCACCACTGAGGTATTTCTAAGCGAGTGAAGGAATCGATTGTAGTCCACCACCACTACCAGGTCAAGAAACCGCAAGTGGGTCCACCACCCAAGATAAGAACTTTGTTTCAGTGTGGAATTATGCATCTTTTGCAACTCCAACTGTCGTGCTATTTCCCCTTCTGTTAAGCCACATCTCATGGGTGGAAATTTTGTATCATTATTGTCTATCTTATAGACCAAGTGTTGAAATGTGCTAGAATGCCTCATGGGTTCAATTTCATAAGCGATGCCATTTATCTGTAGAATTCCTTGAAAACCCCCAAAGCAGGTACTGAGGGCAACCAGAGACTCAAAGAACCCTTCCACATAACCATGATAATAGCAGTCATTCTGTACAAAAGGCTGATCTTCATGGAGGGCATGCTGGTCTGTATAGGTGAACACTGGCAAGTGTTTGGAAATAAAGATCTTCTTGACCCTCATGTGGACAACATGTTTCTGGCCCCCAAATCGCAGACTGTAAGAGATCCAGCCCTGAGTCCTTGTATGTCTGCCTCTACCAGTCACCTTCAAGGGGATCACCATTTCTGGAGAGGTGAAGTGCTGGGAGGGCCTGGCCTGTGAGTGGCGAGACATAGACAGAGATGCTCCAAACCAGAGAAGCAGAGGAATGATCCTGATAGGCACCAGGGCTTCATCCAATGCCATTATGGAGTCAACTGTGCAGGGCAGAAGCAGATAGGACATGAGACATTGCTGGTCTGACTCAATGTGTTGGGCTGAGTTGTTATGGATCCATATCCTGGAAGAGTTGGACTGTCAGAGCTGCGGTACTGAAAGTGAAAATAAAAGAAGAGCTAGAATGGTGTCTGTGGAGTTGGAAGAAATAGGATATAAAGAAGTGAGGTAAAAATTATTCTTGAACTGGGATAAGACTTGCAGCAATAAACTGCCTTAGATTTTCTTTTATATAGTTAAAGGGATTAGACTCCAGGGGAATACATGAAAATTTCTTAAAAGTAGAAAATTGCTGATCATGAATGATGAATATATGACCCATTCCTCACTTGATATGGTTAACTTCAAAAGACTAAATCATTATTTGAAAATTGGCATTATGCAAAAGTGGATCACAAAAAGGATTAGTATACATCATTACATAACTTCCAAACCACTGAGAATCATGGCCCAGCCAAGTTGACAATAACCTTAACCATCACAGCTAGCACTATTCTAACCTTACAGCTTGGCATTCATTACTGCTCAACATATAGTTTTTTTGTTTGTTTGTTTTTTAACAAGATAAATAATATGCTAGTTGATTTTACTGATCTTAAAGATGCTGCAATTTTTATTCAATTCAATGATTTTTCAACATTTTGCAGCTGTTTAGCTTCACAACATAGCAGCTCATACACTATACTGTACAAAATTACCAGCAAGACTGGAATGATGTGTTAATAGAAGGCACCATCATTCTTATTACATTACCAGAAAACAAAAATATAGTAAAGACCATTTTCACTGTACGCAGCATAAAGAAAATAAAAGAGGTAGGAAGCGTGTGCTGAGCAGCCAGCTGAAGAGTGGCAGGTAGAAAAATCTTAGATAAGGAGCTACTAAACTTGATCTAATATTCAAAGACCAAGGTTTTGAAGTTCTTAATTGTGTTTAGTTCATAACTAAATAATTTTCTTCTGGAATATATTTGTAGTCTTCTTAAGGTTTATAGACATAATGTTTTTAAATGCACAAAATAGTTAATCATAGTTGTTGTTATTTTAAACTATTGTCATAAATGCAAAATATCAATGAAAGTCAATAAGCGAGGAGTGTTGTTGTTGTTAAGTTCCACCAAGTCGGTTCTGACCCATAATGACCCTGTATAAGGTTTCTGAGGAGCGGCTCATGAACTGGAACCACTGACCTTACAGTTAAAATGATTTTGCAGTCCAGCACATTAATCCACAACACCATACCAGGACTCCAAGTGAGGAGTAGATGTATATTATTCTCTAAACATACCAAATTGCATGAAATTTTCCATATTAACAACCATGTTGACGTTGAACTCATGAATTTTTTCATCCAAAAACCTATCCTTCCTTCTTAACAAGTATGTGGAAAACAAATACAAGTATTTTTTTTTCCCATTTATTTGGATGGTTTCTCCCTGGATCTACCAATTGGAGATTAAACTTTCTACAGAAAGCTGGACCAAGGAGCTTATGCCTAAAGTCAGTTAATCCATCAGAAGACCACAATATGAGTATACTTCGAAATCTCGTTACTGTTGAAAACATAAATTCTAGCTCAAGTAGAAGCTAATCTTGCTCATTTACTAACTTTGAATGAAAAAGATCATTGATGGTTTGCTTAAAATTTTAAACAAATTGGAGACAAATTATTAATAAGCACTGTTTGCCTAGATAGTTTAAACAAAGAGATAAATGATGAGACCAGCAATACATAACATGAGCAATATCTTTATGCTCATTATCATGACAAAAAACCCACCTTACATCCATTTCAGCACTATCCCAGAACTAATAGCTGGCTTCCATAGTCCACAAAGGGAAACCAGGCTTATTAGGTGAAACCTTTTACAACAAGCTTCTCTGATAGAGGTGAAATCTCTCCTCTCTATGTCTCTTTTCATAATGTCCTTGGTGTTTGCTATAGGCTTTAAGACAGTAAAATGGGAATGAGTAAAGTAAGAGATAATTATAGAAGATAAAACTTTCTAGAGGAAGAAGTTACCCTTAGTCAGAAAAAAAGTTTAGGTAATAGAAATGTTTACTACCGAGAAACTTTGAAACAGATCAATCTTTAAAGGAACATCTAATAATCACTGTGAACCTGTTTCACTCCAAAGCCCTTCCCTCTAACATTACTGGCATTGCAAAACAGTGTAGGAATCGTCCTCTAAACTTCTCAAAACTATCTTAAGTCTTCACTCACTCTGTCATTTACTGTGTTTTCAAACTATGGGTCACAAACCCATAAAATCATTTTGGTGGGCCACAAGTGAATGAAGCAGAATGAAGTAGAAAATATGAAAGAATTTATACTGTTGTATCTCTTGCCTATTTCCTATCACCACAGAAGCTGTTAACAGAAATGCTGCTGCCAATGTTTATGCTCATTATTCAATATTTACACAACTCCAAACCCACAAGTTTATACCCTGATCTGTGCTAATGGCAATGATGGCAGTTTTGAGGACTAATGTGTGCCTCATCCAAGTCACAGTATTTCCAATATCCTCATATGCATGTGAAAGTTGGACAATGAATAAGGAAGATGGTAGAAGAATTGATACATTTGAATTATGATGTTGGAGAAGAATATTGAAAGTATCATGGATAACCAGAACAACAAACAAATCTGTGTTGGAAGAAGTAGTAAGAATGCTCCTTAGAAGCTAGGATGGCCAGACTTCGTCTCTTATACTTCAGACATGTTATCAGGGGGACCAGTCCCTAAAGAAGGCCATCAGGCTTGGTAAAGTAGAGGGTCAACAAAAAGAGGAAGACTCCCCAAGAAGAGGGATTGGCACAGTTGTAGCAGCAATGAGCTCAAGCTTAACAATAATTGTGACATTGGTGCAGGACCAGGTAGTGTTTCATTCTGTTATGCATAATTTTGCTATGAGTCAGAACCAACTCAATGGCACCTAATAATAACAACAACAAAGGCACTGGCACTCTGCAAACTAATAATTCTCCATTGTTAACTGGCTTCCTGTTAAGTTTTTCCAGTAGGGGCACTGTACCAAAAAACAAAACCCACTGACATCAGTTCAATTCCAATTCATAGCTACCCTATAAGTAGAACTGTCCCCATAGAACTCCTAAGATTGTCAATCTTTATGGCAGTCCACTGTCTCATCTTTCTTCCATGAAACAGCTGGTGCGTTCAAACCCCTAACTGTTCAGTTAACAACCAAGTATTTAACCACCATGCCACCAGGGCTCCTAGAAGTACTACTGTTGTTAAGTGCAGTTGACTTGGCTCATAACAACCTGTATAGAGTTTTCAGGGAGCAACTAGTGGATTTGAACTGCTGACCTTGTGGTTAGTAGTTAAGTGCTGATCCTGCAGTGTTACACCAAGACTCAAGGGACACTATAGGGAGATTAAAAGGCAAGAGGAGGGGGAAAGGGATTTGTTATCTGTTTTGCCTACTGTTACTCTCTGCACAGCCCCAGCAAAAGTGCTTCACTATGCTGGTATTCGTTGATAGATATCACAATTTTAGAAAAAGTTCCATTAAGCCCCATCAAAGGTATGAGAACCAACTGGACAGTACCTTCTCCATGAAAGTCTAAGAACAAGATCTACAAGGCCAGTCTCCAAACCCCTGGGAACCAGACAGACAGTACCTCTTAGAGGTTTCACAACCAGCTCTATCTGGTCCCTCATCAAATTGTCTGGATATTAGCCCTTAATAAGCAGGATCACTTCTTTTGAGGTCTGAGTCACAGTTTTAGGCTGCTATTCTTCCAAGTCCCTAGGATATCAGGACCCGTTCAGCATTGCTTCATCAGAACTATACCTATCAGTTTCACAAGGCCCCTTTACTGAGTCCTAAATTACCATCATCACCTCAGCAACACCATATCCTCTCTGATCCAGGACCCAAATCAGGTAAGTCATTCGTGAATGTCTTGGCAGACTGACCCCAATCTCTTCCCTTTGTTCCCCAGTTTTCGAGGGAACTTAGCTTCTTTCAACAAATCCTACCTCTGTTCATCTCAATGTTCATTTTTTTGCCTTTTCAGTCCTCTAATATCGTTCCACAAATTGCCTATATTAATTTCTCTTGGTCATTTTCTCTTTTCGGGACTGAATATTGACATAAATCAGGAGGGTATCAAGCAAGAGAAAATGGGAACTTGAGATTTGTTTGTGCAAATGTTGGCCTTAAACACAGTGCTGAACTTCTGTCCAATGGGGAATGGGAATGCAGTGATGTCACAATTAAGTTACATCCAATGTTGATTGTGATGAAGTGCAGACTGAAGCAACAGTATAGGGGGACAAGTGACTGCTGTAATGATGACTATAAGTACTTAAAGGACCGTGGGAGGTGTGGCTATATTTTCCTTTCCTGGAGAATTTACACAAGAACCTCAAAGCTATAGATTCTTAGTTCCAAGAGAGAACTTATAACTGTGGAACTAAAATAATCTCTTGTTTCTTGTAGCCACAGGACAAGCCCAATTAAATGAAATTCAAAACATAGTGATGTGGGGAGGTGGGGCTTGATGACAGCTAGGGTAGAGGTGCAGTGAAGTTCACTGTCAGCCATACCACAGGATACCAGGCAAAGCAGATCCAGGGCAGAGCTCCAAAACTCGGAACCACAAAGATAGGAATATTTTTTAAAGTTTGAAGGCTTATAGCTAGTGGAACTTGAAGCTGAAGTAAGAAATCATGTACTTTTGAATCAGCTGGGCTCAGAGGGCTAGGGCTGACATCTTGGGTGAGACCAAACAGCAAGACCAAGTGGGTGATCAGAAACACCACAGGAAAATGCCATGGGAACCTTGGAGCAAAGATGGACAATATACTTTGTTGGTTTTGCTTTGTTCTGATTTTCTTTTTGGTATCTGGTCATTGCCTCCCCCCTCCACTGTTTGTGCACCTCCATTCTGGTGACTAGGGGTGTCTGAGCGAGTGGACACCCCTTATCCTTACCACTG